GGTTCCCCGTTCGCCATGCTGCAATCGGAGCCTGCAGTCCAGGGGTCGGGCGGGGGGGGGGGGGGGGGGGAACCAAGAGGTGGTCAATGCACCTCATAGCGACTGGTCAAGCAGTCGTTCTGGTCATTATGGTTGCTGGGCTTTTATTATATAGGATATATATACATGTCCTATAAACAGATACACCCCTTTGGTTAATCACTATGCTTTAATTATGTTCAATTTGTAACAATGAAAATACATCCTGCATATCAGATATTTACATTACTATTCATAACAGTAGAAAAATTACAGTTATGCATAACAGTAGAAAAATTACAGTTATGAAGTAGCAACGAAAATAATTTTATGGTTGGGGGTCACCACAACATGAGAAACTGTATTAAAGGGTCGCGGCATTAGAGCATGATCCTTTAACCTTTTTTTTAGTTAGTATTTCTCCTATCTCAGGCCTGTCCATAATACACACTATAGAATAGAGGGTGTAACCACAAATATCTTGTTAGGGGTCCTATAGATTCCTTAAAGAGAGAGCCAGCTTGTTGAGGCTTTTAGCAGCCAGACAGTCCATGCCTGGTTTCAGTCAGGGTGCTTGGCTGATCTATGACTCAGCTCCAGCCATTAGTTGCCATGTCAGAATATGAGTTGCCTAATTTTCCAAAATTTTAAAAATAGAAAAGTTAGAAATCTAAGGTTTATGTGAAATTTATTCTTTTTAAATATTATCAAACTAATTAGAATCATTTTTAAGCAATGTATACATCAGTCAAAACCTGTATGAGCTAGCCGCCCTCTTCACATTACACACTGGTGTAGTTTCTTCTGGTATGAAGGAATGTGGCTCCAAAATATGACTCCTATACAGTTTTCTGAACTCAGAATCATCTTGCTCCTTCTTAAATAACTTCAGTTCTGGGTCCTCCTGTCCCAGGAGGCTAACCTGTTCTATTTTTGGTTAACTCTAATTGTTTGATGTTTCTGCCTCATGGAAAGCAGAAATGTATCTTCTTCACACTTTGACTAGAGCTCCTGGTTTGCCCTGTGAGACCACACAGAAGAAGACTTATGTGACAACTTTTCAGATTTGTGATTTTGGCTATGAATCAAATTTCCATTTGTCCAGAAATGTAGGGTTTGAATCTTCTCTCTGTCTCTTAAATAGCTCTGTGATCTTGGGGCTTATTACTTTAACCTGTTTATGCTCCAGTTTGTCCATTTTTAAAAGAAGCATATTACTGCCCTGACTGGGTGACTCACTTGGTTAGAGTGTCGTCTAGTACACCAAAAGGTTGCAGGTTCGATACCCAGTCAGGGCACATACCTAGGGTGCAGATTCAGTCCCCTGGTCAGGCAAGTATGGGAGGCAACTGATTGATGTTTCTTTCTCACCTTGATGTGTCTGTCTCTCTCTTAAAAAAAAAAAAATCGGGAAGAGGGTCCTAATATATGGTGACAGGAAAAGTTTTGACTTTGGGTGGTGGGCACATGGTGCAATGTACAGATCAGAAACCCACACCTGAAACCTATATGTTCATGTTGACCAGTGTCACCCCCCAAAAAAAATAAAAAGAATTTTTTAAAGCAGTAAAAACATATCCTCAGATGAGGATTTAAAAAAAAGTCAGCCATGGGATTCCAGTATGGCTGTGTGACTTTTTGATATAGGTATGTGATGTAATTCTGGCCATTGAGACCTGATGAGAAATCTAATGGGAATTGGGTTGGGGGTATTCTGGAAAAGGTTTCCTTGTTCCTAAAACAGAGGCACATGAAAAGATGGCCTCATCTTTTCTTCCGGTTATTGCTGACCCTGGGTAAGAAGCTTGTTTCACTCTCTTGACACACCTGGGTGTTAGGTGGGGGCATCATCTGACAATGGAAGAGTGAAGACATAGGTTGGTCATATGATAAACCTTTCTTATTGTTACAATGTTTTGAGTTGCATTTTCTTTTAGCTAAAATAATCTTAACAGATAAAGAAGTCAAGTTACTTAATTCTATTGTGGCTGGCAAATAGGATAAAAAGTATTTAACCTCATGGAGTTATGAGGAAAAATTGAAATAATATAGGTAAAAGGCACTTTGTAATTGTAAAGTAATTCTGCATATTTATAGTTCTGTTACATTACCCCAGTCAGTATCTGTTGGCCAGTGGACAGAATGTTTCACAGAGAGTGAGACTGCCTGGCTTTGCTAATTACCAATTGTATTAATATAGTTCAGGTCACTGGACCTTTTAATTACTCCTCGCTAAAACAGAATTAAATGATCTTTATAATTTTGTGAAAGGAATGAGTCTGAGTATCGTGGGATTCCCACCAGAAAGCCCTTATATAGATTAAGGCAATAGGTACAAATAAGTACAGTGGGGCCTTGACTTATGAGTGTCCCGACTAACGAGTTTTTTGAGATACCAGCTGTCTCTCGGCCGATTTTTTGCATTGAGTTGATAGAGTAATTTGAGTTAACGAGCTCCTTAACAAGCTCGGTCTCGAAACGAATTAAACTCGTAAGTCAAGGCCCCACTGTAACTCTCTTACTGTTTTGAAACATCGATGTGAGAGAGAAACACTGATTGGTCGCCTCTTGCATGCACCCCAACTGGGGATCGAACCTTTCCCCCTTTGGTGTACAGGACAACAGTCCAACCAACTGAACTACACTGGCTAGGGCAATAAGTAACTCTTAATTGAGGAAAGCATAATTTATTAACCATTCATGTTTGGGGTGCTTCCATTTTCACAGTGGTTCTACTGATCTTGCTGTCTTGAAAAACTAGGTAAGCTCTCCTATTAGTATACTTGCTGGTTATGAATATCAATTCTCATAGCTTTATGCAGTTAGGCAGATATTTGCTTTTTTGTTGTTGTTAATCCTAACCAGGAGCGTACTTTTCCATTTTTATTTTATTTTTCTAGAGCGAGAGAGAGTGGAAGGGAGGGGGAGAGACAGAGAGAAAAAACATCGATGTGAGAGAGACACGTCAGTTCATTGCCTCCTGCATGCTCCAACCCAGACCTGGGATCAAATTGCAACTGAGGTGCCTGCCCTTGACTGGGAATTGAACCCGAGGCCCTTTGGTCCATGGCTGACACTACCACTGAGCAAAACTGGCTAGGGCTCATGTAACATTTTTTAGATGTAGAACATCATACTCAGTTTTATTCCTAGAAGTAGAGGGACAATCACAGAAGAATCCCAGAATGCAGATTTTTCCATTCATTTGGCAAGTTTTGTTTAGATTTTGTAAGTCCTGTTGAGAGATTGTTTTGACTTCTGACACCAAATAGTAGGTGTCCTACAATTCAATCCAATTCTGACACTAGCTGGAGTTAGTGTCAGACTCCACAGGTTAAAGGGCTTAGTACCACAAGGTGGCCCTAACTTCAGATGCCAATTGTAAGAACTGGGTCTTCAGGTTACCTGCACTTTTGTCCAACTTGGAGGGGTTGGGATCTGTGAATATATGATTATGCAGAAAGTGAGTTTTTATTATATTGCCCCCTTTTTAAAAATTTATTATTTTTTTGAATCCTCACTCAAGGATATTTTTCCATTGATTTTTAGAGAGTGGAAGAGAGAGGGGAAAAACAGAGAAAATATCGATGAATGATAAACACATTGATTTGTTGCCTCCTGCATGAGGCCAGGCCAGGGGCCAGGCCAGGGCCCGGGCCAGAGAGGAGCCTGCAACCAAAGTACTTGCCCTTGACTGGAATTGAACCCAGGACTCGTTGGTCTGCAGGCCAACACTATCCATTGAGCCAAACCGGCTAGGGCTATTGTGTTGCCCTTTCATTTGCCAGATTACCTTTTCTGTTCTTCCTTTCTTCCTTATTCTCTGTGATCACTTACTACTTCTGCTACTTAGAGGTTAATAGAGACAGGATAAGGCAGTATGTGTTTTCTTTTGAATGTTCATTTCCTCTTTCCTTCCTTCCTGCTGTCTCTTCTTCCTTCCTAGCTACCTACAGTTGTTTTTTGGGGGGGTTTTTAAGTTGCTTCTGTATGCCAGAGGACACAAGTCCTTGTGGAGTTTCCTTCAAGATAACATCCTTTCTGGGAAATGACATCTGAATTTTCACATGTGATGAGATGAGTCTTAAACCATGAAGTGTGAAGAGGACCAATTGTGGCAGTCTTATATTTGAAAAAACACATTTAATGAGCCCTACTTCATTTAGCATAATTCTAGAATCTTTTAGATAGTTTTTAGTAATTCGTGATTTTAGTAGTTATCTTAACATGTGGGTATTTAACTACTGTAGCAGTTTCTTCCATCTCTTTATTCTGTAGATAAACAGCATGAAAGTGCTGTTTATCTTTTTGATAATTCTGACAAGGTGAATTTGAAATATGTACTTCATTAAAGAATGAGGGTTGCTTTTAATTTAATAAATAAGTACTTTATTACAAAAATCACTTGACCTTGTAATTAGTCTTTAATATTGATTACATTTGTTGAAGGTCTTTAGATGATTTTTTAAATGTTAAAACTTGTCATAAAAGACAGTAATGGTATGTGCTATAATTTTTTATTAACTGAAAAATTACATGTTTTTAGTGACTATATGTGTTGAATTTTATACTCCTTATACAAAAAAATAGAAAACAAATACTCTTAAATTCTTCATTGCATGTCTGGTCTAGTATTACTTGCCCAGATGTCTTCTATTTAAAATAACTTAAATCTTAGAAATTTTGAGTGAAAGCTGGCATTTTGACTAGGGTAGAAAAGAGATAATGCTTACACTATTTAACACCAGCCTTTATGAAATGATGTATTGTTGGATGAATTAACACTCTTTTTCCCCCCCTAAAGAGAACTGGAAGTAAGACTATGGTTTTATAACTTTGAATATTTTAACCAGTATAAACTAATTTTTTTTATAAATAAAAAATTATTTTTAAAACTTCTCAGGGAGGAAAGAAAAATAGTTGATTAGTCAATGTGTAGTTTGATTTACATTGAATACTTTTTATTATTCCTTCCAAAACAGACACTCCTTGAATATGCAGAGAAGTGGAAAACTTCAGAAGATCCCTTACCTTTGCTGGAGGTATACACAGTGGCCATCCAAAGTTATGTTAAAGCCCGACCTTATCTTACCTCTGAATGTGAAAATGTAGCATTGGTTCTGGAACGCTTGGCATTGTGAGTAGACCTTTGAGTAAATTAAAATTAGGTTTAGCTTTTTTTTGTTTTACTTTTATATCTTAGCTCTTATGATAATTTAAATTTAAATGGACTAGTTATGGGATGTCTACTGATAATGTTAGAATTCATTTTATTTTACTTCAAATTTTAATAATTATATATATCTTTACCAATTTTTTTTGTTTTTTAGAAGCTGTGTTGAACTTCTACTGTGTCTGCCTGTTGAGTTATCAGATAAACAATGGGAACAATTTCAGACACTGGTGCAGGTGAGAATATTTACCTGTTAGGTTTAATATAGGTACATTTTAAGTTAGTTTTCTTTGTTCTTAATAAATTATTGGGTTAAACTTTAAAACACCTAACGACAAATTTTAATTGCTCTTGTTATTGTTATTAACACTAGTGTTTTGCATATAGTAGATGCTCAATAAATGTTTCCTAAGTGAATTTACACATTTACGTAGTTTGGTTGAATAATACACTTTTCTTTAAGATCAGGTAACTAAAGGACTTTGTCAGAGTAGTAAGGGAACACAAAAGAACATGTCCTCATTTGTATTAAGGAACAGTTTAACTAATATTGAAAATCTGCAATATACTTAATAAGAATGTAACATATCTCACTTTTTTTTGTCTCTCATTTAAGTCTTATGAAAACTTTGTGGGGGTAGGTATGTTTTTTCCCATTTTAAAGGTGAGAAAACTGAGGCTCATACTCTAAAATATTTATTTTCTCATACTTATGCAGCTGATATCACAGAGTAGTTATTTGAACCCAGATTTTTCATTCCAAAGCACATGCTTTTTTTTTTCCCTAGAGCTGAAAACACATGCTTTTTATTTCTTTTATTTAGTGGTTTTTATTCTACTTAGATGAGTACTACACAATTTTACACTTAGTTATTTTGGAGCATTTTCAAGAACATTAAACTTTGTTTCAGGCACTGGATTGTGCTGGATATATTATAGCTTCAAGTAAATTTTGATCAATTGGATAAAAGAGATGTTCCTGCTAGCTAGTTTTCAAAAATATAGTTGTCTTTTTCTCTAGCCACAGTTCTTAAAATATCCTTTGGCCTTATGTTTTTCTGTAGGAGATGTATTAAAGAGGATTAATCTCAAATTTTAGAAGCATGTGAAATATAGTTAGGGAAATCAATTTTCCTATTTAATATTAAACATTAAACTCTATCAAGTGCAGAATTCTTGAAGGTAGGATTCATATCTTAATACCTTTGGATTCTATTATGTCTTATACATAATAGATACTTAAAAAGTGTTTGTTGAAATGAAAGTGTCTTGTCCTGTTTGTCACATTGCAACTAACTTTTGATCATGCAATTTCTGCTTCAGCATATCATTCCTTGTGTCTTAGGATTTTTTTCCTAATGTGTTTATTTTTAGGTAAATAATTCAGAACTTTTCATTGTTTGGCATTCAGATACACTCTACACAGAATTAAATAAGTTGTTTATATACAAATACACTACTGAATCCCTCATGCTACTTAATTTTTTTTGTCAGCATAAGATAAACTTCTGAACTTTCCTTTTTAAAACAATAGTACTAATTGATACTTTTTTATGTGAGTTAATGCGAAGGAAATAACTTTAAATCCCTCTACAGTATTTTCAGCAGTTGCTCAAAGAAAATTTTTAAAAGCACTTGAAATTGTTGCAGTGGGAAAGTTTTATGGTGTTGAGGAATAGCTGTTTTGTATAAACATAGCATGCAGTTTTAAGTTTCCATGACACTTTTCTCTTATTTTAGAGTTTCCTCGGGGTTATTTTATATCTACTTAACAGCATTTGTTTCATTTTACCTGTGTGTCAACTGTTTAAATATTTTTTTACCCAACTAGAAGATAAGCCCCATAAACACCGGGACTAGTTGTTCTCTTCCCTAGTACTTTCTCCATAGAAATTCTCAGTAAACAGTTTTGAATTGAATAAAAATTATTGATCTTTGGTGGTCTATAGAATATGCCAACTGCATGAACGTTTGGAAAAACTAATAAGTAAGGTTCGTGTCAGCTTTAATAGGATTTTGCCAAGGCTATGTAGTAAATAAATGAAAAATCATGCATTTATTTAGTTGGTTTGCTTTCATATGTCTCTTATTGGAATATGTGTAAGTTGTCACTTAGGCCTTGATGCAGGTCTGTCATTTATTAATGGTAGAAGTTTTTGAAAATTTTTTTACTAACACGGGATGTAAATGTGTAAGGTCTTTTACGCTATGGGTATTTTGATAACTTCCTTGAGAAATAACCTTGCTCTTCCTGGTTTAGATTTTGGAGAAAAATTAATATGGACTTATTTATAAAAATACATTGTTTTTATTTAAAATTTATAATAATATAATGCTTATCCTTGAGATTTGACTTTAAAAGTCAAAAGTAAAGGAATTTAGCACTTTGTAATGTGGCATGAGAATTTGAAGATAAAAGTCTTATTTTTCAAAAGTTTAGTATTATATTTAAAGCCTGATAAGCTTGCTTTTAAAAATCTGTTGTAATTCTTTGGATGTTTATTTAATATTTATAGGTAGCTCATGAAAAGCTGATGGAGAATGGCAGCTGTGAATTGCATTTTTTAGCTACTCTAGCTCAAGAGACTGGGGTGTGGAAAAACCCGGTACTGTGCACTATTCTTTCCCAGGAACCATTGGATAAGGATAAAGGTAAATTTTCTAGAGAGAGAGAGAGCGAGAAAAGAGAAAAAAGAATCATTAGACCAAAGAAAATTAAGTACTTAAAATTGTTTTGATATAATTCATCTCAAGATATCCCAAACAAGGATCATTTAATTACATTTTATCTGAGATGGTTGAGGCCCTTCATTTTTATTTTATTTGGGGGAAAGATGTATTTATAGGGCTTTACAATCATATCATTACAGAGAAACTAATTTTTCCCCCCCAACATCTCTTTAACAGAGGTATTCCTTTTACAACATCCTGATAGGTGGCAATCTGGCTTATATTTAATATCTAACTTACTTGACAGATGGAGATGCTGAAATAGGGTAGTCAAATGATTTTCTTGAAAATAGAATACAAAATTAGTGCTAGAACTTTCAAGTCTTCTGTCTCTAAGATTAGTATTGTTTCTCAAGCAGCTTATTGCTCAGTCTTATTTTATCCAACTTAGTTGTTATTGTATGAGTTCGGCAATAAAGACTCCAATTAAACTCAGACTGGCTGGTATCCTGTTGGAAGTAGATGGCTAAATCACTAATATGCATAACAATGTTCAGAGTACAAAAATTGTATATATCACAAAGAAGGGCACAGTTGTTGTCTTTAGTACTTGAGATTATTTTGGAAAGTGCCCAGCTTTCACTCTAATCTTTCCCAAGGTATTAAATTAGAGAATTAAATAAGCTGCTTCCATTGTTTATTGCAGCTTTTCCTGTTGATTGATTGCAGAGTCTAAGTATTTTGCAATATGATGTCAAATTATGAAGGCTCTGAGAAGGGAGTATAAATAGCCCATTGCTTCTGAACACTTCTGATACTTTGATATTTACTGAAAGGCTTCCCTGCTAATCTCCAAACTTCTCTTCAAGCTGGTTGTTCCTACATGGCCTCCCTTCTTACCATTGCTCCATTGCTTTTCTGATAGTTTATAGCAATGTTATCTGTTTTTTAAATTTTCATAAGAAGTTTATTTTTAGTACCCCCTTCCTTTGTGGATATCCACAGATTAGCTGCAGTGTTCTCCATACCTTAGAGAAATAAAGAATAGACACTCATTATTTAAAATAATAAGAACATTTAAAAGTTGAGAATCTTAGTGTTTTGTTTTGTTTTGCCTTTGGCATATTACTTTTCTTTCCATTATATTAATAACACTATGTTGGGTTTTTTTTTTTTTTTGCTATAATGAAATTGTATTTTCTAATGTTCTCAACTTTTAAAAATATTGGATGTAATATATTAATATCAAATTACATTGTATAGTTTTTAACAGTTTTAAATGTCCTTTAATATGCATGGTTTCATTTAACCTTCACAATGATCCTATGAAAAAGGTAGGCTCTTTATTCTGTTTTACAGATCAGAAAGTGGAGGCTCAGAAAGATTACTTGTATTTTCTGTATCACATTGCCAGTGATGTGAGGCAAAAGCAGGAATTGAAATGAGATCTTTAACTTGTCTTCTTTTTATAATATGCCCTGTTGAACCTAACTTAATAAAATTTCATCTAGTTTAAATAAAGAATTAACTCCTTGCCCTGGCCAGGTGGCTCAGTTGGTTGGAGCGTTGTCCCATGCACCGAAAGGTTACGGGTTCAATTCCTGGTCAGGGCACATATGGGAGGCAAACAATGTTCTTCTCTCTCTCTTTCTCCCTACCACCTTTCCTTGCCCTCCTTCCCTTTCTTCTCCCTTTCTAAAATATCAATAAAATCATACCCTCAGGTGGGGATTAATAAAAAAGGAATTAACTCCTTTTTTTTCCTGAAGAGCATTTTTGCCAAACTCACACATTATGCTAAAGTAGGAAAATGAAACTTTCACCTTAGCAGAGATTTAAAATTTATTTTAAAAGAAAGTGCGCTCCATTTCCTGTTTAAATGTGCCCAATGTTGTTTCTGTTAACAAATGTCTGCCCATCTCTGTGCTGCTTTATTTCTTGGTCTTCACCTGATATATCCACTGGGATAATTTGGATTGTGCAACCAAGAGGAGTTTCTACAATAGCAGATGAATTGTAGATAGCCAGACTTTCATACAACTCATGAAGCAACCAGAGAAATATATGATCAAGGAATTTTGCAGCCATAATCTTTACTTTGTTCTCTGTTATTTAGGATGCCTCTTTGATGGGAGTTATTTTATGTATAATTACACAAATTATTCATTTCCTCCTTTGAAAAAGTTGAAGGAACTAACATTTTACACACACATGCTAATTTATGTACATTTTCAAATTTGATTGTTCAAAAGGAACTTTTAGCTTTTTATATTATACTAGAGGCCCAATGCACAAAATTCGTGCAAGAGTAGGCCTTCCTTCCCCCGGCTGCCAGCACTGGCTTCCCTCTGGCACCCAGGACCCGGGCTTCTCTCCAGCACTCAGGACCTGGGCTTCCTTCACAGTCCCGGCTTTGTCCAGAAGGTCATTGGAAGGATGTCTGGTCTAATTAGCATGTTATGCTTTTATTATTATAGAATATTCAGCCCCTTGGTTTAACTTAATCTAACCTATAGCAGCTTTGAAGAGAGGAGCTAGAGCTCAGAGATTAAGAAGTACATGTCAGTAGATATAGCTCATTAGTTTATAGTGAAGTCTTTGAGTTTTGATATAGTATTTCAGTGATTTTCAACTGGTGTGCTGTGGCACCCTGGTATGCCACAAGAGGCACACCAGTGTGCTGCAAGAACTTTTAAAACATGCACTACCTGACTATTTAGTCAGGGGCACTGACTTCTTTTCCCTTAGACGGTCAAATTAAAAAATTACAACAGCCAACACAGCAATAGCCATCAGGTGTGAATTAATAAAAATTATACCTATTTTTTGTCAGATGGGCAAAAAAATTTTATATATATATATATATATTATTTATTTATTTTTTACTGATTTTAGACCTACTAAAATGCAGCTAAACCAAGAAATCTTTTTGGGATTGGGGGTGGGCATGACTCAAAATTTAAAATGCTGGTTTCATTTTAAGATGTTAGCCTCCTAGAATAAGGTAACTCTAATTACTAGACCAACATAATTCAAGTAGATGGCCTTTGAATATCACAGGAACTTTAGGCTTACATATTACTTGTACTTTTCTTTAATCCTAATCTTGGGATTGGAAAGACCAACTGAATACTCATTTTTTTTAACTCAATTTTTGCTCCCTTCTAAAACATTACTGATAAATACATTGGCCTTTACTTGAATATTTCTAGAGAATGGTAACTGTGTAGTTCAGTCCATTCTTAGCCCTCTATTAGAAAATAGTCATTGTGAAAACTATATTCTTAGAGTTTACATCTTTTGGATCTAGTGTTACCTCTAAAGCCATACTGAACAAGAGTGTAAGTCCCTCTTTTTGCACCATATCGATTGAGATATTTAAAGATTGCCATCATGTCAACACTTAGTCATCTTTTCTTTTGTAGACTAAAAGCCTTCCTGGTGTGACATGCTTTTAAATCTACAATCATGATACCTAATTTTTGAGTAGATTTTGTTGGTGGTCTCATTAATGTGTAATTCTCAGAACTTGATGTGTACCCTAAATATGAGCTGCCATTGGTACTCTCTCTCCTTCATCCTAATAATTTATACTTAGTATGACTTAAGATGACATTGTCTTTTGGGGTAGCCATATCTTTCTCAAAACTCATCGAGGTCACTAAAACCATATA